GATATATTTAGTCAAACATGAAAAAAAAATCAAACAAAGAAAAATTCCGATGCGAATAAAAAAAAAACACCTCCTTCGATTTTTTTTAAATTTAGGTAACCTGTTATACTCTATTTCGGCATTCATTTCCATTAAAAATATGTTGCATCATTTTATTGAGAAAGAAGATACAACTCCCCAAAGTAGGGTCCTTTTTCAAAGCCTACACTTAGCAGTGTTTTATACAAGAACTGACTCTGAGTTCCAGTTTCACGAAACCAACACACATCTTTTATGTATTTTTATTCAGATGAGGCCAATGATAACTAAAGAAATCGTTCACACACTTAAATTAAGGAGAAACTACTGTGTACAAAGAGGTATCATATTACGGACTAGTGATCCGAGAAAAGATCATGCAGCCATCGGCCACTAGGAACTTTGTTTACTTTATTCTCCTGCGACGCTATATGCTATTCCCTCTTCCGCTCTACCTTCATCTCTCTCTCTCTCTCTCTATCATATATATACCTGATATATATCCAGAATAAAAACATGTTCAAGCATTCCCTTTCTGCGTGGTTGTGTTCTGTGGCTAGCAAAAATCATTTCCTCGCTAAACTCACGATTATGGCAAAATAGTTGCCGGAAACCGCAGACGACACTCGTCGCTAGTTCTGGCAAAACAGCCGATACAATCTTTTTTTTCGCATTTCCCCGCTCGCTGTCAAGGACAAGGGGGTTCGCTTCAACCAGCAAAACATGGCCGTCGACGCCTGTTTACTGAGCAGTCATGCCTGTCGCCATCTCACTCGCTGGCGTCACGAGCGATATCAGGCACAAAGGGGCACACCAACCGGCAGCATTATCCCCAAATACTCGAGCCTCGCGTAAATACATAGAGTGTAAACGCTGTCGCCATGTTATCGTAGTAAGACCGCCCCCCCCCCCCCTCCCCCAACGGGGGACTGCAGTACGCGACGGCGTACTAACACAACGGCGACGATATCGACATCGCGGGCTCCGAATTTTCCCATAGTTCTACTCCACGGGCATTTCTCGAAACGCTTGATATTGTGTACGCCCGCCTGGAAGGATTTCAGGCGCGTAGTTAAGATAAGGCGGTTCTCCGCGGCAAAAGAAAGCAATTTCACAAATGCTTAAAAGCGGCGGCGACGCGTGTGCGGTGAACGCTTGTAGTTTTGGTGTAGACAGGGTGTGTGTGTTCTCGTTGTTGACACCAGCCGGCGATAAGGCACTGCAGGCGGTAGCTCAGTACAGCAAGGGCTAATCCGAGTGACCATCAACGTAACCCCACCGCCAACCCTTCGCGAACCGGTCGCCGACATGGCTCAGGCTGTGTCATGAACCACGTGGTAGAAGCTCGGGTACTTTCATATCAGCGCGTGGAGGGACGACAGTGCGATTCCGGAAAGTCTTTTTCGAAGGCCGCTGACCACAATGTTTTGTCTGGAGACTTTCCCTCTTTCTTCCTTTGACGTGGATCAAGCTTTGTCGACAGCCTCAGTTCTGACCTCTCTTTTCAAATGTACGTTTGCAGTGAGTGAGCTCCTCAGCCTCGGACTTGTCACTTGTGCACCCAGTAGTTCTTTCACTTGGCAATTATATGCCATCAGTTGGGGTTTAATTTCTATTATTTATGTATACATTATGAAGACGTCCTGGAGCTCCGAACGAGTGTTTTGTGCAGATTACTTTTGCAAACACAAGACTATAACAAAGCAGCCGAATTTTCGAAGTGTTGGCGAGTTGGACCTAAACTCGTTGAAGCAAATTCTTCCGCCTGACTGTTCCACCAAAGTGAGTGCGACGGACTACCTGTGCTAACATTACTTCATGCACATCACTAAGGAGATGTCGATGCGAAGCTCAGAGCAGTGCCCTGACATATTTGTGCCAGCTGAAGAAGCAATTGAAGATCTAAATAGCAGCATACTACCTACAGATGTGTCGCCGCTGAGACAACCAAGCGTCGTAAGAAGTCGGGACAGGCCTGCCTATGTGAAGAGAAAGTAGACAGAACTGGAGCAGGTTGCTGTCAAGAATATACGCTCAAGGCTACGTATTGCGTACAACAGGGACGCACCATCGGGGTCGTCCGAACCAACATGCTCCACATGCACTGAGTGAGTGGACAACTTTCGGCAGGCCTTTGAAACCGCCACCTCTCTCCGGGAACGTTGTCAACTGCTTACACCCCTGCCGTCAACACTGGCGAAGAATGAGGTTCAAAAGATGATTCCACAGGCCTCAATGTACCTCATCAGTAAATCCCGAAAACTCAAGGAAAAGCATGGCGTGTGGTATGAGCCGGATCCTTACACGAGGTGCAAGGTGAGCCCTGAGAACCTGTCTGCTGCCCTAGAGTACTTCACGAAAGACGAGCTACAATGTTCGCGCCAAAGTCCCAACCAGAAGGACGTCATCTCTGCCATGCTCAACGGAGAGAAAACGTTCGTGCCAAAGCGCTTCATGACACGCTCAATACAAGAGGCCTTCCGCATATACAAAGACAAGCATCCCGATTCCGGCGTTGGGCTAACGAAATTTTATTCGTTGCGCCCTAGATGGGTCCAATGTATTCCACACCAGGAAGTGTGCGTTTGTGTGCGCTGCGCCAATTATTATCTTTGTATTGCCGCTCTAGAAAACGTTACAGGCTCAACATTCAACACTGGTGAAATGAACTCGGCATTTCTGTGCGACCCAGCAACAGAACTGTGCCTTCAAGGAGACTGTGATCACTGCCCAAAAGGCCAGTTTCTTACACTCCAGGAACTTGATATCCCGGAGGGTGAAGAGATTGTGCTTGCAACATGGGAGTCCGGCGACCTTGTGAAAAAAACTTTGGAACCTGAGACTTTCCTAAAAGTCATCCTAGTGACGGTTGGAAGTTGGGTACTTCACAACCATTTCCGGCAAACGCAAGGTAAAGCGATCTACGATGAAAAACAGTGCATGCAACGCGGGAGCATTGTTTTTCATTTTGAGTTTGCTGAAAACTGGACCATCGTGCTTCCTGACGAAGTGCAAGCATATCACTGGAAAAAAAAAACAAGTTTCGATATTTACATGTGTAGTGACGACAAGAAAATCTACAAACAGCTTTGCCATCATCAGTGAGGTCCTGTGTCACGACGCCGCTCACGCTTGCTTGGCTCTAGAAAAAGTGAAGAAGTGGGTTGAAGACAACGTTGCGGTATACTCGTACTTGAGGTACGTAAGTGACGGCGCCGCCAGTCATTTCAAGAATCGCTACCAGCTTCACCAATTTGCAAAGGACGATTGCCCACAAGCCCAGTGGTTATTTTCTGCATCTGGACATGGGAAAAATGCATGTGACGGAGTTGGCGGACTCGTGAAGCACCAGGCCACGCTGAACAACCTGAGAGAACGTTCAGTAAGTGCAATTCAGACGGCCAGGACAATGGTGAGCGTTCTATCAAAGAAACTGAAAGGCGTGCATCTTGTATATCTGGACGAAAATGAGGTTGTTCGGTATCGTGAACAAAAAAAAAAGAAGAGTGGCTGACGGTGCGCGCCTTCCCTGGCATTCAGTCTTGGCACGCGTGGCGGCTCAGCAAGTCATCAACAGAAGGGACCTGTGACGTATATGTAGCACGGACAGTCGGATCTACTTGGAAGCAACTTTATTAAATGGGTACAGCGAGGAAAACCTTGGCGTTAAGTGCCGAATTTGATTTCCCAAGGACTGCTCATTTTGAATGCAGGGACATCTTATTTATCACATTTTTCTTCACGGGGTATTTAACCTACTGTTTTTGTTGGTGGTTACTAATAATTTTTATCTGATCACTATAAAAAAAATCCCAAAATGTTATCCTCGAGCAGGATAAAATATATCGGCTTGCCACGATTCATTCATACACCGAGAGCATCGAAGCTGCTCCAGTTAGGCACTATGGCATCCGTCACATGAAATTGTTTGTAATCGTAAATACACAGCCAACCTAAATACCTTACTATTATATCTTTGTTTTTGTGTGTGGAAGTCAAGTTATTTATTTTACTCTAGATGTAAAATATACCGGAAGGTACAACTTCACACTGCATCATCTTTTCTCATATCATTAGTCTCTAATATGATACCACTTTGTACGCTTATGTAAAATGCTGTATATAGTTTCTCCTGCCTTTTACTGTGTGACAGATCGCTCTTTTTATCAATGACCTCATCTGAATAAATGTATATAAAAGATTTGTGCAAGTTTCATGAAACTGGAACTCAGAGTCACTTCTTGTATAGGACACTGCTAAGTGTAGGCTTTGAAAAAGGACCCTACTTTGGGGAGTTGTATCTTCTTTCTCAATAAAATGATGCAACATGTTTTTAATGGAAATGAATGCCGAAATAGAGTATAACAGGTTACCTAAATTTAAAAAAAATCGAGGTTGGTGTTTTTTTTATTCGCATTGGAATTTTTCTTTGTTTGATTTTTTTCCCATGTTTGCCTAAATATATTGTAACTATTGTGTCAGTCAGGTACCTTATTTATTTTATCAATAATAGCCACATATTAGTACAATATTGTCTGCAAGTTATGTAATAATGATTAAATTATTTCATGAGATACAGATTTCCAAAGTTTGCCATTTGTCGTTCGAGCAGGCATGTTTGGCAATTTTTAGAAAACTAAATAAATTTTTAATAAATATTATTACTTTATATTACAAGCAAGTTGTACCCATAGTTTGTTTGTAAAAAGTTTTAAAATTCTCCGAATTTTATTGTTTTAATTATTCACTTTCAAACTTGCCCCCTCCATCAGTGCGCGTTATTGCAACTGTCCACCTCTCCCTGCCTTACGATTTTTCTTGTCTACAAATTTTTTTTCTGGTCAAAACTAAGTGTGGATTAGTTTATACCAGACACTAGACAATGTCATATAAAAACATCAGTTGATTTAAAAATGTCGACCAGCCACCCTTTGGTCGATCTTATCTGAAATCACCCAGTAGGTAATACACAGGTAACTCACATCAGACACCGCTTCTGGCTTGAAGTATTCAGATGTGTATAAATCTCCAAAAACGAATTTCATATTCTTCATCAGTTGACGGATGCAGTTAGCTTGAGCAGACAGCTGATTAAAGGAGGCGTCAACTGATCCCATAAATTGAGAGTATGTAGTGTAGAGTGTCAGTCTTGTGTATGGTAAAAGCTGAACAATTCGTTTCCACCCAAGATAATTAAAAAGCACTTCCCTGTAAAAAAATAATTTCATATCCAAACAAAGCACTAAGATGATACCAAATTTCATCTTTTTACCATCGACAATGTATGGATGTATTAGCAATAGCAAACATCTTACACTGGATATAGTTCAACTTCGCTTCGTGCTCACAGACGTTTTTAGCGCGGAGTACTCATTCCGAATATACGATCCCCAACGCATATCTTGCCGGTTAACCCAATGTAAACTAGGAATGTTGAAAAGAATATGTTTTTTGACTTATGCACCAAACTTTGCAATACTCTCATTCGGTAAAAGCCAGATGGGTGCATTTTTTGTTTACAGCACAATGTTTAGAACTCCGGTCTAAACTCAAAATAATTTTGCCAACTCAGTAAACACCAATCGATAGCTACGGAATTTTTCTTTTCGATCTGACTTGCCTACTTGAAAGATGGGACACGATAACGCATAGCTCACAGTAACTTATCTTTCACCTTCACCTTCTCAGGATATTGATGATTTGCTACAATTTATATATGTGTTGTGAACTAGCCTAGTGACACTTGTTCAAACATAGAATGGCCTTCTCAAAAGCACGTGCAAACGAGCGCTGAGATCCGAAGTTCGTGAGAACGAGCACCACCTGCAAGAAAGAAATTGTTTGATACATTTGACACAAGAAACTTGGTCGTTCATTTGAGTTTTTAAGAAAAAAATATGCGCTCGGGAACTTGGAGATATCTCTGTTTTATGTCATAATTAGCCCTACTTTAGAGTGGTATAGTTTTATTTTAGGAACAAGGAATACTAAAAACTAGAAATATAGGCGCGTTTCTTTTTTAACTTTCTACTTACTTGTTTGCAAACTGTATCCGATTACTTGGGTGCTAATGTAACTTCCAAAATATTATAAAAGTCTCACATTTTTTACATATTGAATAAAGCTAACCACAGGCTACCTTCGGACCAGGGCGGTGCATTTGTTTCACGATACGAATGTATTGCTATAGTATCTCAGATGTACTTTCGACTACGTGTATCTTAAATTGAGATACTTATGAAAAAGGTGTTTGTTTATGAGTAGTGGTTACATTATCAATGTATAACTTGTATCCCCGTACTCTAAGCCAGATTACGGTATCTTGTTACCTTTGTTAACGAAAATTAACTGTCTGTTATTTATGACAAACAAAACAAAACAAAAACACTGAAGTGAACATGGGAGCGCAAACTAGCTGGTGAATATTTAGAATGAGAAAAATACGAAGACTGCAGATAAAAAATGAAAGCCGCTTACAACTCCCTGTAACGCCGAATTAGAGCGCAGCTCTTGAGGAGGAGGAGGGAAGGGCACTGGGGGGGGGTTAAACTAACCAGGGGGGGGGGGGGGGTCACGTTACCTTGGGGGTCACGTGACCCCCAATGCCGAAGATGTCATCACTGACGTCACTGATGACGTCATCAGTGACGATGACGATGCGGGTACTGATGACGTCATTAGTGACGTCACTGATGACTTCACCAGTGATGATGACGATGACGATGCGAATGTCGGTGACGTCATCAGTGACGTCGCTGATGACGTCATCAGTGATGATGACGATGACGATGCGGATGCCGGTGACGACATCAGTGACGTCACTGATGACGTCATCAGTGATGATGACGATGACAATGCGGATGTCGGTGACGTCATCAGTGATGATGACGATGACGATGTGGATGCCGGTGACGTCATCAGTGGTGATGACGATGACGATGTGGATGCCGGTGACGTCATCAGTGATGATGACGATGACGATGTGGATGCCGGTGACGTCATCAGTGACGATGACGATGACGATGCGGATGCCGGTGACGTCATCAGTGATGATGACGATGACGATGTGGATGCCGGTGACGTCATCAGTGATGATGACGATGACGATGTGGATGCCGGTGACGTCATCAGTGATGATGACGATGACGATGCGGATGCCGGTGACGTCATCAGTGATGACGATGACGATGTGGATGCCGGTGACGTCATCAGTGATGATGACGATGACGATGTGGATGCCGGTGACGTCATCAGTGATGATGACGATGACGATGTGGATGCCGGTGACGTCATCAGTGACGATGACGTCATCGGGGGGTCACGCGACATCGGCGGGGGTCACGTGACCTCGAGGAGGGTACCACGTGACTTCGGGGGGTCACGTGACCCCCCACGAGGTCACGTGACCTTGGTGGGGGGCTCGCGCGGTGCATTATGGGACATTTCCCATGATGCACCGCGCGGTTACGCCAACGCCGACGGCGACGGCGACGGCGACGCCGACGGCGACGCCGCTCAAGCCGGAAACGGGCCCCTAAGAGCTGCGCTCTAAAACGACAGAGACAAAAAGATCTCTACTAGAGACATTTTACTGTATGTACCACTTTTACACACAGTCCCGTGATTTTTGCCACGTCAGATGCCAAATTTTTGGTTCAACGGTTTCAGAGTTTGTGATACGAACTCGGCAAATAACTCCCTCTTCAAGGGGTAAGGGGGGAGGAGGGAGCCTGGTGCCTTGGTATATCACAGTCACGTAAGAAGATAAAAAGAAAAATCATAAACAACAGGAACTGAGGGGGTTGGCAGAGCGATTGCTTGGACGAATAGCAAGATACGCCCCCCCCCCCCCCTCTAATAAAAACAACATACTTTTACTGTTTTCGCTTTAGCGAAACGAACGCTGTAATCAAGACGAGTTCAGCGGAGGAAGGAATCAGACTTTAACTGTAGATAACTTTAGGAGCGGCTTATCTTCCTGTACGGAACCTGTTCAGGTCTTATGCAGACTACATCTGGCTTCGTTCGATATTTTTGTGCTCTAGAGATAGTCTCACGACAAAACAAGAACCAATTCAGGCAGTTGGCCCTTATCATGCAGTCGTTGGTGTACAGTCTTTCGCTGGGGGCAATTATGCTTTTTTTGGCTGCCTTTTGGATTCTAGTAGCGCATAGTTAAAGAGCTTTAGGTAAGGGAGTGTGAATAAACTCACAGATAAAAAGAATACAAACAATGCCATTTAAAACAACCCCTACCTGCTCCTTCCCCACCTACTACTGTTCCGATATAAATATATTTCTGCACGTATGGATAGATAACCCTACTATGGAATACTCTTTTGGCGTTTTGCTAGAAGTCAGGAATAATTCGTTGCAAAGTAAAAGAAATGTATCTCGGTATTTGTCTTTTTGCCTTAAAACCAATTTATTTCGGTACCTGCGCATTTTTTTTTAAATACATCGATCTCAGTATATGTATCCCGAAATACTTCGTGGTACACATCTACCCAGCCCTACCTGGAAAAGAAATATTTTCGACTCCAGTTTCATAATATCATAACTACGTCATATCCTGGTTCCTACAAGGTAGAAAGATGCAGCTTCCGCAGGATTTCCTAAAGTAAATTGTTCAGCTCGGTAAGGGGGGAAGCTGTGCAATCACGCACATCACTTTCGGACTTTCCTCTCATCACCGGGATTAGAGTAAAACAACAATTAAAACAAGCCTATCAATACCCTGCTTTAGAAGGCGGAAACGTCTTTCCTTTGTTGTGGATATCCAGGTTACAACTTCAAACAATTTAACTTGCTTGAAAAAGCTGAATATTCATTTAGAAATCAATAATACATGTCATTACTTTGACCTTTCTCAGTCTCACGCGATTTGTTTTCATAATTATGTTATTCCAACTAGATTCGTGATGTTTAATTATCTTTCCAGAACCAGAGTCAAGTTTTCCAGTAACACATTATTCTTTTAACATACATGACTATCCTTCCATACGGAAAATGTAAACATATTTGTGTCTTATTGCTTGGTTGTTGTTGCTTCACACTATGTTGTGTTTTTTTTTTCTTATATATTTTTTACCTATTTTCTTTTTCAACGCCCATAACTCTAGTGGTAAATGAATAAATAAATAAATGGCATGTTGTGTACCCTCTACTACTGGCTGTTGCAGGTAAGAAAGAGGGACAAGCTCTTCGCACAAAGCCCTTCCCTCTTTATTTAAGCAGCACGAACGCTGGAGAGGAGGCGTGGGGACACTCGCTTACCCTCCTGCATTCACTTTATTAAAATGGGAAGTTTGAGGGGCTTTGCAGGAGAAGCTTGCGCTGCTGTGTCAACCAGTAGGCTCTAGACATTTTTTTCTGGGCAGCACCGATCTATATTAAACATTTTATAGTAAAATTCGAGCTGGCTGCACGCAGAGCCTATTTCCCCAACTTATTTTATGGCATATTTAAATGCTGATGCCACCTCATTCAAACTAGTGAACGCATGTACTTACGGCGCTGTTTGACGAATCAGTCTAGAAACACTTTTGTAGTACCCTAATCTCCATACGACGACGCTCTGTGAGTCTTTTAAAGTAGTTCTAATGGCTTGGAATGGGTGTTGGAGAATTGTTTTCCAGGGCAGTTCCTGTTCAAACAAATTGAAGCAGATAAAACCAATGAACACGGAAAAATATCCACAATTGAATTGCAACCTCATCAAAAATTTAACTTTGTGAATTTGTTTTTCCTTACCACATCGCCGGATGGGATTACAGTTGGAGGAATATATACATACATTATGCACACAAACGCTATATTATAACATCTCAGGAAGCGCGCATGCAAACATTAATAAATGCAGTAAATAATGGCACTTGAAAGCAAAGGAATTCACTTCGCAATGCAGTAAAAAAAGCGTCATTGTTCTCAACTTAAACAATTTTAGATCTCAACTGATTCTCTTGCGGAATCAATTAAATCGAGAGGCGATCAGTTGATACTCTTACAAATCGCTTACTGCAAGATTTTGTTGGTATTCAGAAAGCATTCGAAAACATACAACGCTGTAGCGTAATCATTATGATTTATTCAGGTGCAGAAACAATTATGTGCGTTTTATAATTATCACAATACTTCTCGCGCTCATTTTACAATATCGCCTCAATAAAAATATCTACAAACAAAAAATCTTAGGCAGTCATATTTATAAAATATATATATATATATGTATTTGTTGTTTAACTAGGTGCGTGGACTTAAGCTATGGCTTACCACAAAACACTTTTCACTGTGGAAAGAAAGAGCATACATTCGTCTAACTGGAGCGGGCTGGTATGTGACAAAAATTTAAAAAAAAACAAATATTGTAAGTTTTTGTTTGTTTACACAAGCATAGTTTGATTTAAAAATACTTTTGGCCACTAATTCAACCCGGCATGCAAACTGGAAATTCGGTAAGTTCAGTAAACGACAGCTAGCCTAACATTTTCAACTCGCTTTAAGTGTAGCGACCACGAAATCAAATTCCGTTTTTATCGTGACTGAAAACTTCAAGTGTGCGGGTTGAGCTAAAGTTATGTGGGTTATATTTCGGGGGAGGCCTGCACTCGCGCGAGATACTCTGTAAATAGCTTACACGGTCGGCCAGACTCAAAAATTCTCTAAAGGTGGGTTTTCTAGGTAACTCACCCCAATCAATTTCTCTACTTCCTTAAGTGTCGTCATTTTTCTGTTGTCCTTTGATTCAATTCTGCTGTCTTCAGTTGTAGCCTGAAGGTTTGAAGGCAGTATTAAATGAAGGGGTTCCATTTGAAAAGACAAGCAATACATAACGAACACGCTATAGATGATTGCAAGGAGCCCCTCTTCAAACCTTATTGTCGGCATCTTGGGTAGATATTGATTTCTATGAACTCCAGTCTAATATTCATGTGCACATCTGAGCAAGGCTTGACTACCGGGCCAATTACACAAGATGGCGGTACAATGACGAGCTGGCACGTCCTACACAAACCTAACTTGGTACAAGCTTGGTGATACTAGGGGCTAAGTTGGGCCTAACACAGTTTTTACCCCAAGGGCTTAGTTAGTGTCAGAGTACTTTCCTTTGGCCTTTATGTCTTCCCTCTGGCTTGACACATAATTGCACCAAAAAATTGCGCGACCTGGGGAAGGACGGGTCTGCAAACCTCTATAGCGATGTACGAAAAAAGATCTTGGCTCCCATTACCAATTTTGTTTTCTTATTACAGTGAGTGTGCTGGCGATCTGGTGGAAGTCAACCATATTGAGTTTGACCCGAGTTTGGGGCATGCAGAAGAAGGAAAGAGTATTTTACAGTAGAAGAAAAAGTAGCAGGGATAGACGACGTCTCTAAATCAGCTGATAGTTGTATTCAACCAACCTTTATGTACAAAACCAGAACCGTCACAGAACAACCGAACATCGCTTTAAAACGCGAAGAGTATATTTGCAGCTGACTTTCCATGCCAGATCTTGTCAATGCACTAGGGTGTATAGTTCATATTGAAGGAGTGACTAATCATTTAATCAGAGACACCATCACTGTGACGCAGTCACACAGGGTAGAGCAACGACCATTTCTGCTACGCTGTGATCTACGCTACGTGCTCTTGTGCGTATTTTTGTATCTTGAATTTTAGTATAAACGATCACCACTGAAGAATAAGCGCTTAGTTGCTACAATGTCACTTCCCGAGTCGGTAGCGATGAGCCGGTGCAACGAATACAGTGGTGACGAGGATTAACAAATAAATTACAAGGCCGGTATTTCGTCATCGGAAAATAGGCATCAATAAGGCAGCTTGAACACGAGTGAAGAGAGGGCTCAGATAGTGATGTCCTTCGGCGATGAACAGGATAAGTTGTTTTCTTACCGCATCCTGATTAAACCATTTTTTAAGAGAACGCCGTGACAGATCCAAAGAAGAAGCTAAAGTTACCGCGCAAAACTCGATCTCGACGTTTTATGGACTGGCTACTTTCTGTTTGGTCACTCTTGTATCGCCGTTAACGGTGACTAGGATGTCCATAGCGTCAGGTGTCAACGTTCTATAGACCTCCTAAATTTGGAGGCGTTTGTTATTCCTTCCTAATACATCATCAGGGACATTTTAGCATTAGGCGAGTCTATGGACATCCTAGCTCTTGGTGAGTCTAGGGACATCCTATTTATTTTTATATTCTTTGACCTTAAGGCCTAGTTCACACTTACAGCTAATTCGCTGCCGCCGAAGAGGAATCGGCCGCGGCAATGCACTGTACACGCTACGCCCGGCGACCGAATTCTTGCAGATTCGCCCGCCGATTCGCAAGTGTGAACCAGGCCTAAGTATCATGGGTGCGAAAGAGCTATGTGACTCTTTTTGTAATTTGAAAAACTTGGAAGGTGTAAGACAGGAAGAAAAACATCACAGAAAAGAGAGGCCAAGGAAGAGAAACACATAGAACACAGAAGCGCTGACTCGCAACTGATATTTATGAGAAAAAAAAAAGGAAACGACGTTTATACGTAAAACAAAAATTACCATGCACAATACATTCATACAATGACTATTCACAAAAATATTACAAAAGTGCGAGAACTAAAATAAATTCTGCAGGGACACTTAAGACTGTTTGCGCCTGGGAATACGAAAGGCTTGGTGAAATGTTTTCGATTGATGTTTTCGACACGCGTTAAAGTTCTTTCTACTAATTTGGTGTCTTTGTTAGCGTATACGTTGACCACAGACCGGAAACATTTGGACCATTTTGCTGCAGAACGATGATTTTTTTTCCAGGCTATGCGATCCCCTTTGTATAATAATTGTACGTCTGTCGTGATGATGTCATTTTCTGTTGCGACAATGTCTTCGTCAGTAGAGGGACATACGTCTGTCGTGTAATCTTCGCGCCTTAATGGTTATGGCAGTGTCGGCGCTGGTGGGATGGGGTCAATTGAGAGGATCATTGCCTTGAGGTAGTAGAAACAGCACGGATGAAATCCGAAGAGTAGGAGACGCGCAAGAGGCAGCGCGCTCATTTTATACACTCATAACGTGGCGCCACCTCCTCCCCATTGCCTAAGCCGTCAAGTGACCAACGACGCACGCAATGTGTCACACGTGGCGTGTGCAATGACGCACGCATTAGGCACAGATTTAGTCAGCCAGAACTGTGGAGCCAGCGTGGCGCCTGGAAGCGTGCTCGCCTGGTACCCCTGAGGCACAGGTTCGATACCAAATTTTCCTTTCAAATTTATAACTCTACTTTGTTTACGGAAAACGTACTGAGAAATATGACGTCAATCCGAGCATTTGTGACGTGCTTTAACACGTTGCGTTGTCGTCCATTTTTGGTGCCATCACTCGATCACGCCGCCAAAGACGCCGAATTTGCACGTAATGGGGCACATAATTGTTTCGTGTTTAAAGCTATAGGTGCACCCGAGCAGGCCAGACCACAGAGCCTGGTAACACTTAGTTTTTAAAAGCACTGGCTAGAGGCTAGAAAGAACTCTTCCTTCTCATGCAGCGTAATTGATTGCTTGCAAACACTACACTCTGTTAATTCTGATATATGGTACGCTTCCGGAGCTTCTCCGTTAGTCCGATCTGAAAACTTTCCTATAATTGTCCTTTGTTTAAACTTCGGTGTGCATCGGTTGGCCTAACAGTGCAGTGGAAGGTGTCATTCTATGGTGGCATGCCGCGGTAGCAAATTACTCATTTATTGTAATTAATTTACACTGCTAATTACTTCAAAAAGACTGAAATGTAATTAAATTACATTGCACATTATTAATACACAAAGTAATGAATTGCAATCACAAATTACCGAGAAAAAGTTACGAAATTACTTTCAAATTACTGTTTCATATATTTTAAAGGAATAGCTAAAGAAAAAGAAAGACGCACTGTGCTTTGCATTTGCAAAGCAACAACCGTCAATTCCGCATCAAGCCAGTGGGCAACACCAAAGAGAGATACCAGCATGCGCTCCCAAACCTAACCGATTGACCTTAGGTCTGTCTGTGCTGTGGGTTCACGTTTTTTTCGAAATACCTACTGCGCACGCTGTCGATCCCCGGATGCGTCTTGGTTTGGATTGTCTTGCTATTGATTGTTACTGTGGGCTGTGTCTTCTTCGTGTGAACTTCGGGGCAAGATAATCTTTAAGGGGGACAAAACCCATGTTTGGGGAAGCCTACACTTGGTTACAGCAACACAAACCCGGCAGGATTTAGGTGGCACGACCCTCAAGTCCGACCAACGCGCACATAAGGGCACCAAGTCCGACCGTCACACCAGCCAGCGGCCACTAACGAAAACCGCATTTGTCCTTTTTTTTTCGTTATTTTTTAAAGCTTTATTTTTTTACAAATGCAAGAGCTGCTTCCTTTCTTGTTTATTCCGAGAAAAAAAAACTTGCATGAAATATCCGATAAGTAAATACAATTTTAATTACAATTTCCGCCACTAGGGTAATTCATTACATTAGTAAATTACCTGCGTCAAAAATGTAATGAGATCCATTACAAATTACTCTCAAAAGTTAGTCAATTAGAGTAATTTTATTACTGCCACCTCTGGTGGCATGAAGTGAATAATAGTATTCTCGGAGGAGGTCTTTCACACAGCGCTCCGTCTGCCCTACATCGCTTTTAACGAACATATGGAGTAATTTGTACACAAGGCCTTTTGTGCATCGCTTCGCGCATCCGGGTTTTGAGCGCTTTTCTATTTTTGAGCCCAGTTGAGAGCAAATTCTGGCCACCTTCGGGGGGCTAAAAATACCATCGGAACCTCATAGTGATTCGCCACTTTTTTCAGATTGTGTGATAATTTGTGGACGTATTGAACCGCCATCGAGCGACCCCTCCGCTCTATAAGACCTTGCGTAACAAGGACCTTATTACTCCAGTTTAAACCTGCTCTGGAAATGCTGAACAGTGTAGGCGTTTCAATTTAGCTTTAAAACTATATTTTACTTTGTGGGAGCATGACTTCACCTGCGCCCACACTAAAATGGACCAAAGCTACTCACCCTTCCTACAACTTTGGAATGCGATGACGTATCGTGTAGGATACCTCCTACTGTACTGTCACGCGTGCCGATTCACACACAAGTTTAAACAAAGGAGAATTTTAGGAAACTTTTCAAATCGGACCAGTGGAAGCGTACAATACAGTAAAATTAAGCGAGTGTTTTGTCAGCCGGCCATTCATGACGCTGCTTGAGAGGAAAGTGCTTGTTCTAGCGAGTTCTTTTAAGGAATAAGCGTCTCCTGAAACAGCGAATCGCCCTGCTTGTGTGCCCTTAGAGATTTATATTTTTTTCTTAGTTTCTTACTGCGTTTGTAAATATTCATGGTGGAAATGTATTGTGCTTCGTATTTTTTTTTTTTTATGTATGAACGTTGTTGTTTTCTTCCTCTCATAAGTATCAGTAACCAGTCAGCGCTTCTGGGTTCTATGTTTGTCTCTTCCTTCTCCTGTATTTTGCGCGCTGTTTTTCATCGTGTCTCGATACCAACAGGCCCTACTCACCAGATTTCTCGGAAGGTGCCCACAGCGACACCCAGCTTCTTAAGCAATTATTTTTTCTCTCAAAATCTTAGTAATTACGTTTTATCCATAGATGTGGGAGTAGCATATGAAAATATGAGAAAATAAAATCTCGCGTGCACACGCGTACTTGATCTTATCTGGACAGACCCAACATCACGGAATATTTTTATTTTTCTATAGAACAAGAAAAAATATAACACAGAATTGCTGCTGCCGTTACGTTGATCCTCGACGAATCGTGTTACAATTTACTGCAGGGGTTCCCACTCAGCGAAGGATGAAAATTCCGACATCGCAAATGCTGGAATTTCTGTGTTCGAAAGCCTGCCGTTCTCCCGGGCGTCGGAGAATTCGAATGCAGCCACCACAGCTTTCTTGAATCGCTCTTTATGGCCAACATACTATTCGCTCAGTGCTCGCGAAATTTAGATCTTGAGCTGAAGTATCACGAGCAGGGAGCATCTTGAACCTTCAGACAATGTTTGCACCATACATGTATGTGTGGTTGCATTACTTTCTTAGCCCGAGCGCATATTCTAAGTAGTCGTGAACTAGCAGGCGACACAACTACCAGGTGCATCCGGGAGTTGAAAAATATTTCTGATGCATTTCAAGCGTTAAACTATTCTTGTAGATTTTAGGAGTTGAAAGCTCTTGCGGCCAGCCCAATTAGCAAAGAAAAAAATATGGGTTCATTGAGCTTCGTTTTACAGTGAGGTCGTAAGCTTACTACTGAAAGAGGCACCCGGATTAGACATAATCATTGACTTCTTAAGGTTGTTTGGAAAAACACAAAACGGATATACAAGTATGTGGGAGTTTGTCTCAAAAGGGCTAGCGTCCTCAAGCCACAGTAAAAAATTCGCTTACGTCCCATTCTATTTTCCAACATATAAAATAGTTATATTAATTTTGCAATAAATTTGATAAGCTTAACTTATTAACTTAATAAACAATAAGCTTTAAAAATAGTAAAAGGCATAGGTTCGGCGGTCGGAAACAATCACCAAATTACGACCGGCCGAAGTTTTTAAGCCTTGTCTGTACGCGCTTATTTATACCACCTACCAGCACACGTAGACACCGAAGATGATCTAAATAAATTTAATGAACTCCCTGTAGTATCCATAACGTCTATTATTTTCCCTTTCACACATGTCTGTCCTTTACAGGCACTTACTTTGTTCCGAATCTTGTGTTTTTTTAATATTTTTTTTTTCATATCATGCTGACATTACATAATATCAAGTCACTTTCTCCGTATTGTTATGTAGTTTTGGCTCTAACGCCCACCCCACCCGTATGTAATGCCCTCCCTCGGACAGCCTTTATGATAATAAAGACTGTCCGAGGGAGGGCATTAAAGTGGGAACTTTACACTTCAGGTACTCTGCAAAGATTAATTGGTTCTAGCGGTTCCTATTTCCTTGTTTCTCTCAGGTAAACGTTACGAGTTTAACTAGTTATTTTACGCATCCGCACCATTCGTGTATGTATAGAAGACTTCTTACCTTCATAAGTTCAACTTCGAAACTATATATTGTGTCTACAATAGAGCGCATCTGTTGTCTATACTCCGGATATAAAAGGTTAGTTATATCTTCAATGAACTTTTTGTACAATGCCTTCTTTGGGTTTGAAAGGTCACGAAATGCTTGCTCCGTCAAGGGTTCGAAGCGGGGAACATCCATCTGAAATTAAAAAAAAATGCATGCTCAGAGTGTACGCTTATTTTGCATCTTGTGAAAAAAATCGCCTTTGTGAATAGTTCGGACATATTTCTAGGGATATATTCCTTACTGCGGTGTATATAGTTTTGCACCCATGAAAGGTATAGAGGGCCCAGTTTATGTCCTCAATAAATAATTTCTATACAGGGTTCACCAAGTTATATTGCCACGCGCGTCACCGAGCGAGCGCGTGCGTGGCCGAATGGGATCTGTATGTTTCGTGTCGAAGTGCAATCTTGCTTGAGTGTGGGAGAGGAAGAGATAGTCGGAGCCTTTGAGGTTCTGACCATCCTTGGATTGCACGTGTGTGGAGGTCAAGAGCGGACCACCTTCATGTTGTCGAAAGAGAGAAACCTGCGTGGAGGCATTTTTGGATGGTTTTGTCTATGGCAGGCTCGCTGAAAGCGACTACGGAGCAGGAGGGTCTTGGGTGTTGGGAAACACTGGAGGCTCGGCTCGGAGTGGGCTGCTTCTCTGCCGTCGCCAAGTAAGGCATGCGATTTGCTTTTCGGCGGTTTCCCGGGTTCATACTATCTCTCCAATTGCGACCTTTGAACTGCGAATTAGACATGCGAAATATTGTGCCACTTTGTGTTACTCTGCAGAGTGCGTTATGTTATTTTGTGGTTCTACTGCACTTTGACTGCAGGAGGAAGTGTGAACGAATTTTTTAAGAGGTACATGCAGTTCAGTTTTAAATTAAAAAGAAGGGGGAAAAAAAGTGCGTGGCCGAATGGTTACCGCGCTTGACTGTCGCTCAGAAAGTCTAGGTTCAATTCCAGTAAGCGAAATGTTCTTTTATTTATTATTTTAACTTGGCGTTCTCGTAGGTAACACATGTCACATGTGAAGTTTCTCGACAGATAAGATGAGAGACGCCGCTGACGCCGCCGAGTTTGTGTGATCGCAGGACGGCCACTACGGCGACGACGATGCTCGCCTTCTTCGATGTGCTGCCGACAGATGGCGCAACGTAAGAAAGAAGAGGATGCGGCGAGACGGTGACTGTATCGACCATCTCCGTACAGCACTAATTGGCAACCAGGCCATTACTTCACGTTCATATGCAAGGCGACGCGGAGTTCTGGGAAAGAAACCTTGAATATAGAGGCAAGCGATTCTCGGAGCATTAGAGAAAAGTGTACAATACAGAGGCCCGCGTTCTTACTGAAGGAAGTATACTAAAAGCATTCGGGAGATTGTCAGCTAAGCTCAGGTCCGACTCGGCGCCCCCCGCTGCGAAGCTCGGCGCGTATCTTCTGTGCTTGGGGGAGGTAGGTGTCCACTGCCGATGCCTCGCTGTTCACGATGAAGCTTAAAACGTTTAGGGACTTGTAGGTTGTAAGTCATGTTCAGGTATACAGACAGGTGGCTCTAATAGGTAGTCGTAAAGCTGCGCCCACGATAACTTCGGCAGATTTGTCATTCCTTTGAAGAAGAAATGCTTCTTTCTGACTTAATGTTTAGATACCTCCAAAATTGTAATTTTCTTTTTACCGGGTCAACAAGGTATACAGTGATTGAATCGCGCGTGTGCGGCCATTCTGCAAGCTGCACAATCCTAAGCAACCATAGTAATCAAATGACAAGGAAATTCATTGATGCCAAAGATATTGCTAGGCTTGACAATATATATGTCAGTACTCTCTCCACGTTGTCAACAAAAAAAAGAGTTAGTTTACCTGGGCTAACGGAGATAGTTGCGAAAACCTTGTGTGATGGGTTTCGTATATTGGCCACAATGAGATATTTGCGGACAATTTGTGTATATTGGATTAACATACGAAAAAGACAACAAAAGATAAAATAAAAATAGAGGTGTGAGTTCAACGCAGTGGGTAAGCTGCGTGTTTGTAAAAATACTTGTGTATGCGTGAAATGTGTGCCCTGCAAAGCAAGCAATATGCCCCACGAACTCGCCGAAGCTGCAGTTTTGGAGTCACAATATTATTTGTCATTCAAGTGAAATTCAAGAGGACGCAGTTACTTACGAATATTGTATGGGTACTGGGGTTGAAATAATTTACTTCCACAGTAATTCCAAAGAGTCCATTCCAACCTTGTTCATTAATCACATAATATTGATTTTTAGGTCGGGAGGTGGTCAAAACAACCTTGGGCCACGATGCGAAACCACTGTCTTTAAAAACTGCTTTAAGGTTCTTGATCTCATTCACTTCCGTTGTATCTGCAAGAAACATCCATATGACACCACAGTGACCATTTAGGTTAACTTTTGAATATTGCTTGTGTCATATTGTTAGGCCACGTGTCTGTATCTAGTGCATTTATATCAAATTTTGTAATGTGAATGCCAGTGTAACCGAGTAAGAAATAAATGTATAGTTCACCCGGAAAATGAAACGGAGGCAAGTTTTTTGGTTGTCAAACAACGAAAACAAACATGGCCTTAGTAATTCAGGCTTCCGCGACTACTTTTATGTGTTATAGATTCATTATTGTACCGAAGTTGCGTCTAGTCTTGAGTGTAATACTTGCGAGCAACCCGTTGGTGCAAACCGTTTGACTAGATTGCCTGGATGTTAAATCGTCTACCCATTAACACCGCGCGGCGGCCAACCGCAATCGTTTATACGAGCGGCGCTCCACCGCTAATAAAAGGCCGGCGCCGAAGTATGTGCGCAAGTCTTTGGGCCGGGCGCGGGCCGATGACAGTCAATAAATGACTACGTGTGGTTGAAGCGGTGCGTTCTGTCATACTCCGAGGCGCACAGCAGCAAGGGGAATCCTACATACTTCAACAATAATTTTAAAATAAATAGATTAGGCTACTTAGGCATTTCACATGACATGCAAATACTACACTACCTAATCTCCCTTACAAGGAGCGTGGCTCACGCTACCCTATAAAGTATTTGAAATGTTTTGCTACAAATAAAATTCAATTGGATGTCATTTGTAATGAACAGGTGTAAATCATTCACTACGGACAGTTAATAATAATTTGTCGGTGTATTATACGCCAACATATATCTGGTGCTTACATAATCTAACATTAAGGAGCCATATAGTTACAAATTATCTGGTAAAACCTTTGAAGCTAATAAATGGTCGCAGGCGGTGACTTGCATGCTCATTAATATCAGGTATGTAAGCATAACGTCCAACCAAACCCTAACTAAGGATCCAACGTTTGGAGGCCTACTCTGCCTTTTTCTTCTGGGGTGCCCCTGGCTCTGGCCGTTGATGAGCAGTTTGGTTTTTGTCTGCTTTTAAGCTGGTGTCTTTCTCTCTGGAATTTTATTACAGATCGACCCCCATAAGAAATAACTCAAGGTGACGTCTACTGCATATCATAATTGAATTGTTCGGCTTTCTACGTCGCCGGGAATAAAAACTTTCCAGCGACCTCGCTTCTCCACCACGAGCACGGTGACCCCAAAGGATGTAGAAGCAAGTGCGATAGCACTGCAAAGCCTGTAAAATCCGGACACACAATAGCAACAGCAACGTGCTGGCCTAGACTGTGGCGCGTCTGGTGCTTAACCGAGTAGCGTGGTTTTGAATCCAGCCTAAAATTCTTCAAGCTTTATTTTTTTTTAATGCAAATCAATTGGATTGGAAAGTGAAATCATTTGAACTATGCGGCGACATTTAATTTGCATTACATGTCCTCTTTTTAATCACTTTTCTTCTACGCGTGACGTCACGATTCACGTGAGCGTTGTCGGTTGTTTTAAGTTTCTGCGCGACGTCACGTGGCTGTGACGTGTATCGATCAATCTTGGTTCTTAAGCCACCGACGCCGGCTTTTCTACGACATAAGCTCATTAACCCTATCCTGTCAAAGTAGTTAAAGAAAGCGCTTCTTCTTTGGATTACAGTTCAATCAAAGAACAATAAGAAAGGTGAACAGTTCTTCAGGCATTCTGCCCAGTAACTACGTGGCGTCATCAAAGATTTATACATTGATGTATGTGCAGAAGCGGCGACTGTCCTTTCAAAGGACTCACCCATAAAATACGGAACGTGTTACAGGATTAAGCTAAGCAATTTCGGCGAATTTCGTTTTAAAGTGTTCAGCTGAGCAGGATACATTTATCAGCAATTTGAATGTATCACTTTTTGTGTCCGTATTTTGTCCTGTCAAGTTCAACTGGGCATTTTTACAAAAAGGGACCGAACTGGTTTCTGAACGTTGGAATTCAGCTTATAAAATGTGATTAGAATTCGCATTTATTGTTCTTCGTCACTGCTTAACCAGGTAGAGAGCGGCCGAACCTTTACATTCAAGCCTGTTAAATTTAGAATAAAAGCACGCCAACCAAAAATTTAAAGTAGGATCAGCCCAACAGCCCTTAACCTCGGCATAGAATCACACAATCTGAAAGTTAAACAGTTAAATCTTTTCTCGTACAAAGCGAACACGGATTTTGTCAGTTTGTTTTTATAACTTAACGAATATTTTACACGTTTTGTGCACCTCAATCAGAGAAATATATTAATAATCACGTACCCGGTTTTTTGCAAGATTTGAAGATGTAATACATTTTTGTCCGAGGCGATTGCGCCCCGCCTGGTGGTGTGTAGGTATTGATAACACCTAAACGAAATAGAACAAAGCTGTAGGTTAGCTGTTGCACGAGATATTTCATTGAGTTAATTGTTGCAGAATACAAAGCACCTTCTCAAGACCGCTTGACAGGGTGAGGCGTAGAGATAATTGCGCCATGAGTTTTCTAATAAAGAACGCACCTTAGATAAACAAAAAGCGATGTAAATTGTTTACATCTTGAATAAATATACTCTTCACTTTGTCGGTATGAGTGAAAAACTGGCATCATATATCAGAAAACTGGAAGAACCTTCATGTCATATTCGCGTTGTGCTCTCTCGCAGTCAACAAAACTAACGCAAATCTGTTCGATGGCTGAAGCTTTGCCCAATTCCTCTACGCCAACTCACGCTGACACTTACTAAGAAAACGTGATAATATTAATTTACTCTGGATGTAATGAAATATTTAAATCCTTCAGAATCTCCGTGGACGCTGGCTAAAAAACGTCTTGAAGGCTGAAAAAAGCCTATCTCTGTCTTCTAGTTAGTACGGTGTATATTGTGTTGCCGAATGCCACGAGGCCTGCGAGTGGAAGAGATTCAGCACTCCAATGTTGAAGAAAGGAGGATGGTTTAAATACATTTTAATATTTATTCTGACTACCTTATGCACGCCGGCCTTATACCATTCCGTTAATAAAGGGCTGATCTAGATACATTTTCTCTGCGGCTTATGGTACCTTGTCTACCTCTTGTTAAGCAAATCTTCTCTTCGAATTGACCAAACTGTTCTCATGTTTGAACACAATGGTGCTGACCAAAATCACTCGATTCTGAAAAAGTACTGCATTGCCTTCCCTAGCACCTAGCTGGACATAAACATATACTAACAGACGGAAGACCTGAACGTCGCAGTCTGATTGGCTGATGGGTTTCTATTGACATGGCGACCGACATTTTGATTTTTTGATATCTTCGAAGCTTGAAAAACGTCGTACTAACCAGCGCAACGAAATCGCTCCGGAGCTTCCTCGTACTGGAAGGACTCCTCGCCAGTATAAGCGTACTTGGCACTGTGTATCAAGTCACTTACCAATTATTCTTTTTTTGACAGATCTCTTACAACGTAGTTTATAGCAGGAAAATTCTTTTTTTAAGGCCAACAAGCACCGACACCCCATGATGGGGCAAAGCGAAGATGTTCGCTTGATTCGCCGGGGTGTGAATAGACAAATATTCGTATAGACGAAATGTCTTTATAAAGCAACCTGTGACCGGAAATTTGCGACGGCTCACCAAGAATGGAGAAACCGAAAAGAAACCGCTCATTTCAGCAGCCAAAATGGCCAACATGCGGGATCTTGGCGGTACTTCGCCTAGATCTAGTGATTCTGGGGCCGACCTGATCACGCTGTTGCCACCAAAATAGAAAGACGGACGGAGCAGGCCGTTTGTGGGTGCTGTTCGTTCAAACCCGAAACTGCTGGGACGTGTCGCCCAGTGTTTATGCCACCCTACCGCCAACTAGACTCTCGGGAAAACTGGAAAGTGTTTCGCGCTCCACTGCACTTTATAGTATAAATAAAAAACCCGGCTGTCCCGAGGTTACTACGAGGCATGTTTTCTAATTTTCGAGAGTTGCGTCTGCAGTGAGCATTCACATCCTCCGTAGCTGTTAATGCTATCTGCTCGGGGGGGGGGGGGGGGGGGGGGGGGAGTGGCGAGGCGGTTTTTCGATTTGCCTCCCCACCGGACGCCCTCTTATGCCATTGGAACTTCCACAATCTTAGCCGAACAACGCCAGTAGGGTCCGTGGCACTCGTTTTTAGGCGTAACGTGTTAAACATTGGCATGGTCATTATTCATTGATTTACAATTTATTATTATTTGTTTTAATACACGATCTCAAGCTTAAACGTGTGAACCTTCTGCAGTGCAAGTTCTATGCTTGATAGTCTAATAATATTCCTTTTAGAAAATTTCCAGGAGAAGTCTTGGTTATCCCATAACGCTCTTCGGGGGTAACGGGAATTGCGGGGTTATTTTTATCTACCCTTGGACGGACCCAGACTCTTCGTGTGTTTTGGCTACGGCATAATCTATTCTCCCCTACTATCGTGTGTTTAACACGCACGAAAAAGAAAACCAGCAAAAAAAACCGTCATCACATCCCCTATTGTGCTTGCGTGTTACCTTCTTTGCGTTTAGAAATTACATTAGGAACAAATACCAAGTGTGTCTTATATGTATGGGTGATCTCTTACGTATACCGTGCATCAAGCAGACGCTGTTGTCGACATATATTATCGGGAGAGAATGTTTTTTTTTTTCTTTTTGACACGGAATCTGACACAAACTTGTTATTCCCACGCCCTGGGTCGATTCATCTCAGAATGCGCTTACTGGGAGCTAATAAAGAACGCTGTGCCCAAAGGTACGTCGCACGTATCCGATCCGGAACGCGGAGTCTAAAAATACGTCGGATGTACCCGGAACGTCTAAAGGTACGTCGGACTTACGCGGAACGAGCAGTCTAAAAGTGCGCTGGACGTATCCGGAACGAGAAGTCTAAAGGAACGTTGGACATATTGTAAGCACCCCAATTCTGTACAAGAAAGTAGGAATCGGGGACATGCGCTGTCTGCTCTCCATCAAGGCTGAGCGTCCGAACCGTCGCTTGTTTCCTTTCCGCTTCTCTTTGCACGTCTTATCTACGCTTCTAGTTTTGTTCCCACCTTAACATGCCGGCAGTGCACCACCTTTGGTCCCTAGCGCTCGGTTTCGTCACCAGTTGGTAGATGGCGACACACAACGGAACTTGCGCTACCGCACAGGCGCGTTGGAATATAGACACAAATAAGGCGTTGTGTGTTCTGTTTCTGTTTTGTCGCCGTTCGTTCGACTCCGTCGTCTGACTTGCAAGCGCACCTCTATTTTCTTTACGTTGTTCAGGCCATTTGTTCAGGCGTTCAGAACTTTGCTTACCCCCTGAGTGCGATGAGGACTTTGTACACAGTGAAGTTAGAGCGAACGGTGAACACGTACCCAAAAGGCCACAGAAACCAATCCAAGGGCACCGCGACCCGTAAAACGTGTACGGGAATGCGCAATATTGCGAAAGTCGACATCCGAAACTCAAGGAGAAAATCCGTGAGTTTGAATACAGCTAACTGGACGGGGACACCAAGGACTCGTCGAGTCGTAGTGAGAGTAACTGGTTAACCGTGCTACGAGGTGAGAATTGACGGCAAGCGGGATAATTCTCTCCAGGGAAAGTTTTATTTCTTCTGTGGCATTTAGCTTATGAATTTTCTACATTCAAAAAATAATTCTTGCACAAATTTGGAAAGATCGGAGCATCTCTTGAATGTAAACCTCCCCCCCCCCCCCCCCCACCTTTTCCTTGAACATCGCGGGGTGTAAAGAAAGGAATGCTTAGAATGGAGCTAATTACGGTAACAATGAGAAATAAAGATGGAATGAGAATTGCCAGTGTGGTCTTAGTAAGGCACGCTATGACCCGCTATGATACGAACCTTCCCCGTCGCGGCTACGTCCGACGCATCTCTCGGTACCGCGCACGTCCGACATGTATCTTAAGGCTCCGGGGTCAAAATGCGTCCGACGTACCTTTAGACGTTCCGGGTACATCCGATGTACCCTTAGACACAGCGAATATAGAAGAGGTATGGGTACCCAAATGGCTTGTTCTTAAAGGGATACTTCAACAAAATTTGAAATATTCCCGTCGTGTTCAAAAATAGGTTGAATATGATCCACAATATCCGTAAATGACAATCGCACGTTTGTATTTTGATCCTGGTGGCTGTATTTTTCGTTATAAACGGCCCACTCTGGCAAGCGCTCGGAGAAGGCCCAGCTTAGAGCACGTTACATCCAACGCAATCCTGACGTAGGTCGTCTCAAGACGAGCAAAGCTACGGCGAGGCTGGCGTCGAGAGGATGGCCTAGTCGTTCCAGCCACCGAAGCGGCTGCTTTTGTACGAATTTTGAGTGACGGGTTAATCTTCTATAATCTTCTAGGGGGACAATAGCGACTTCTGCGACACACAAAAAAGATTCTCGGGAAAAGGGGAGTTCCTCCTTCCCCCCTTCTCTCGCCGTGGCCGGAGACGAGACAACCTCCGTCACTAGCTGTCAATGTTCCTAGACGAGCATTACAAACGAGGCGTTAGCGACATCCACCAGGTGCTCTTTGCTAATCGTTTAATTTGTTTTAAAATCCCTTTTCGAGACTTTTTTAACGAGACATTGGTATGTTCCATGTGATACTGCTCTTTTGAACACATATAGACCAAAAAATGAGCGCCGAAATTTCGTTGTAGTATCCCTTTAAGGTTTCCGTATAAAATGGGGGCCGAGTCAAAGGTGTGCCGCATCAATCATACTTGCATAAGCCTGATTCGTAATTTTTTTATAGTTAGTATTATCAAAGGTTACGTTATATAGCAAAATAATTGCTATTTACCTCATGGTACCCGCTCTATCATTTAGCTTGAGGATTTGGATATCCGCAGTATCATTACTTGTCTCAGAGGGACGTAAAGGCATAATATACAGAGATGTTAAAACGTAAAGAAAGCAAACGTAGGCATTGGAGCGAGAGTGAAAACATTATTTTTGAGAATTCCTGAAGTGCAAATACAATACGATAATATATGATAATGCTCTTCGTTCTGCTTACGTTCCATTTCCTCTTCCAACTTCATCATGGTTTGAACAAATCTGTTGACTGCAGTCCTTTGCGGTGGAATCGCTGTTTTTGAGATATAATTACCACAGGCGAATTCATAAAAGTCATCGCATGGGTTGACGGCAGAATTCATGCCATTTAAAATTCGTGTTGCTGAAAAACGTAAAATAGAGATATTCAAGCATCTGCTTTTTTTTTAAATCTCGCAACTGCATTGACATATAATATTAAAAACTTATTTGAGGTATCAGACACAATATGTATGCATAGCTCGAACACTCCTAGAAAGCACGTAGGTAATTCGTCTTCATCCTTTACCTTTCACTTTTCGAATATTACATACACGATATTCTGCCCGTAAGGATATATGTTTTCAAAACTATCACATATATGCAAACTTCTTTATCGCATATACTATAAGCTGAAACATCCCTTGGTGGTTGCATTTATCTACATCAGAGATTCGAAGATAGCTCTGGTCTGAGCAGGGAGTGGAATGCGATGGTAAGATCGCATATTTTGAAAGATTTAAGACATTTAGAAATAATAAAACTTGTTGGAACCGAAGAGACAGCAAATGCCAAATCGGGTAATTCATGTCATATTGATCGTAATGGTACGTATTTTTGTTCGCCCGATAGCGATTTTCCCTGTCTTAAAGCAACGCATCCGATCCATTCCTATCAGAAATCGACACTCAATCTCTCGAACTTTCTCACTGTAATATGCGAAACATCTTGCAGTTTCAATCAATATTTAGAAGTTAGAAATTTCATTGCTCTACAATTAACACATGCTCATTACTCCACCTGTTGCAACGTGCAATGTTATTGAGAAGGGGCATGGTAGGCTATAAGAAATACCTAAAAAAAAACGTTAGGTAAAAAATACGTCTTGTACAAAATAGGTCTTTTTATAAAAATACAAGCACGGTGGGCTTTTTCGCTTCCCGAAACGACTTTTCAATATTGCCTCATTAAATTTAAGTATTTTTTTCCTTATGCATTTCATTCGTTAAAGGATTTTGAAGATTAAAGTTGGAGCTAATTTCTATATATTTCTTTGTACACAATTAAGTCTGCGCGAGCGCGATGGACGATTGGTGTGTTTATTTACTCTTGTCAGAAGCGATACCTTTAAAGTCTTCAAATTATTACAAATGCGTTCTTCCTTTAACGCTGTGTGAATGAATTATTATATAAAAAATACTACGATTTAGAAGCCTTTACCAGTTTCTTTGCACTCTTCCGTAGTGCAAACATCCTTATGATCTGTGAGAGAAAGAAAAAACAAAAAGTCAAAATATGTCAGTCGTGCTTAGAATCATAATTGTTATTTTTTCAAGCGTGATGGCGGAAAACACAGGAGCCCAAACAGGAGGATTTTTATATTTAATGAAATAAAAAAATTCACGACAAATCATTGAAAAAATTAAAATGTAAAGCACAACGAATACAAGAGCAATCTTGCAACGAGGGACGTAAACTAGACCTTTCTATAACATTGACTGTTCATAGTGTAATCAAAGAAACCCTTAAACTTTTAGCTGGAGAGGAGCTGTAAGGGTTTCTTCTTAACACCGCTCTATAGCTTTGTCGATATTAGTCCAGTTGTAGATGAAAATACGAACACCAACCACAAAATTATTTAGGAGGGTAGGCGTGCTCGTCAAGGCCGCATCAGTAGCAGACCAAGTGTGAAAAGGGCAAGTGGTCACAGAGTAATTTGTTTCGGGGGTGCTCGCCAAAGGGCTGAAAGATACAAGGTCGCACGGAACGGCGGCGCTCCTATTCATTTCACTCTACATGGGCATGCAAGAGTGGGAACATATCACAATTCGCAATATTAACTCCGGCTTCAGTGTGTTGGAGTTGAAGTGAATGCATTATCAATGAATCGTGCTAAGAAGTATGCAGGGTAGGGTGTTCCATGTAACTTTAGCCAAAGTTTGAAAATATTTTGTTGCATTGAGAATGACGAAACCAAAAGAATAAGGTTTTTTGGTTCTTTGGCGCAAGTGAGCCTATTTTTTGTTTTTTTTTCCCAATGAAATATTAAGATGAAATAATGACTTTTAAAATATTCAAATCAGAGCAAACGTTCCCTTGACAAAGTCGTGCAGCGCTTTCAGAAATATCCCATTCTGCGGTTTTTGTCAAAAAGCCCCTAACGCGGTTTGTTTTTCCAGACTTCGTGTACAGCCCGCAAATTACGGGAAAAGACGCTACTGCGCTCTCGCGCGCCTTGTATTCGCAACTATCACGACCTATAGGGGGCGCACTGGTGCCTATCAAAATGGCTGTCATCTGGATGATCGTCGTAGAACAGCAGTACGAGGCGGGATCTGCAAGGCGTGAGTAATTCTAGTTTTGCTATGTACGAGCAATATTAGAGCCCTAGTTCATTTTTTTCTTTCACGTCAAGAAGGTGTAAGCGAGCATCTTTATTGTGGAGCCAATCATCCACAAGCTAGGGAGCGCGATTCTCACACCGCGGTATCACCATCGCTGAAAATTGCGAATTGTAGAGCTCCCAAACGTGACTTCAATTAATTAAGCCTGCCTGCTGGCCGGGCGCGCTGCCGCTGCCGCTGCGAAAACAAATCCAAAACAAGGCCATGATTGTGACGCTGGCCGCGAGATACGCGACACCGAGTTGTTTCAAAGTTCGCGTGTGTAAATAAAGTGCGCTGCCGTTTGTTATACCAAAAATCACAGTGTTAAAGCTAGAAAAAAGATTGCTTATGCTTCTATGTTTACATGGCGGAGAGATGGGCGTCATAGCAGGCGGAATAGTAGTTAATTCGTAGCTTGAAAATTTCGCTCAAAAACTCTTTCTCTTCACACGACGCTTTCAGGCAAGTTATCCTGTGAGACAGTGCAGGAGTTGCATCTTGTCAATACATTTGCTGTCGCGCACTTCAGCGATATCTCCGAAACTCCACCACAGACTTTCATTACCTTGGCCTTCAAAGCATCTGGCGTTCTGGTTTCTGCCGTGACCACATTAGCCTCGCACAGGCTTGACAACTGCCGCTTGCTGCCGCGGGCTGCCGGCCAAAACCAGTTTTCAACCTCAGCGGCTCGACCCTCGGTGCCGTCCAAGCAACCGGCCGGAACACGGTTGAGGGCTCGCCATTTATTGCCGCAAAAAAAGAAAGGATTCTGTGCGAGGTGGAGTGGATACTGACGTTGCGATGCCATGGCAATGCCCAAGCCACTTCTCCGCGCGTCTTTAACGTTTTCAAGGAGCGTAGTGTAATTTCGTTTCCTCTGCAATCCATATTTTTTTCCAATGTTTTCCCGACGGAGCGATTCCTCGAAACTGTGCGACGTTTCCGTTTTTTTATCACAAGACGTACCAAGGATAAATAGATAAGAACGCTAAGGACAACTGCTTGAAAATGGTCAAAGACCAATTCGGAATAACACATGAGTTTCTCCGTGGCACTTGTCGCATGTCGCTGCGTTGTGAGGGGTGTCGTGTTGAATTGGTGACACTCTAAAAAGTAGACTTCATCTCCGGCGCGCAGCCGGAGCAGCAAAGCACTGACCTGTCCTTCGGTGTTTCGGTAGCACCAACACGGCCGGACTCAGAACCTGCGTCTCCTTCTCGTGAGAGCGTGGCAAAGTTTCAAGATTAACAAGCTGGCTAAGATGATCATATTCGCGCTGATAAACACATCATCATCGACACCTGCCGTGTAAGCAGCGAGTGCGGTTTCAATGCTCATATATGCGAAAGATTGGAGCCGAAACGGAAGGAACTAAGAGCAGGGGACGAAAGCGCAGGACATCCGGCGGATAGGCGCGCGCGATCTCAAGAACGCGAGGATCAGTGCTTTCACGGGACAATAACGCGAGGAAAACGGAGGCCAATGTGGCCACCGGCAACCCCGTTGCCGCTAGTGTGATCAGGTTTTAATGTAGCCCCACATAAAAAAACATCGAGGGGTAAGATCGCGTGGCCCTGCTGGCCAGGACACGGCCCGTTGCGCCATATTCATTGTCCTGGAAAGGCACGGTTCAGCCGTGGTTGTGCTTGACTGCAGCTGCTGGCGGGAGCCCCTGCAGCTGTAGTGTCCCATTCGCATGCTGATACGTGGTATCAGCATGTCAATGAGACATCACAGCTGAAGTCATCGACTGGCCCTTTTAACGCATCTTCGCCCAGTCAAAGTCGTGTCCAAAATACTGGGCCCATGAGTGTGCCGTTGCATTTGCCGCACCAAACATTGGACACTAGTACTGGAGGCGAACCTTCGCAAGCTAATGGGGATTGGTGTCATTCTATTAATGTCCGTTGCAGATGAGTCCGATTCGTCAGTCCACAGCATTTTGTTCAAAAAGTAGGAATCGTCCGCTGCTTTGATCAATACGCAGTTTCAACACTCGAGTCTACACTTGAGATTCCCGGTCACAAAGTTCTGGTGCAACTGGACCTCGGAGGGGGGAAGGTTGCCACATTTCAATGCTCTCCACGTTGATGACGTAGGCACTCAGGTCTCTGCGCTCACGTCACGCATGCTAGCACGCCGGTTAGCCACCGTGAACACGTAAACATTGCTTCACAGACACTTTGTGAACCTACCGGTCTGCCTCAATGCCCCATAATTATTCAATATCGCCATTGGCCTGCGTCGCGTTCCAGGGTGCCAACTGTGAAAGATCTTTGCGGATTGCCTTCTGTTTCTGTCCGCAGACCCGAGGGCGTCGACCATGATTGATTTTTCTTCATTAAAAAAGCCATAGTGAGTCTCCTAGTGCGAAAATAACCTATCTTCACGTAAGACGCACCAAAGAGGAAATGGCTCTGGCACTGGCGCCTATGTCTCGCCTTAGCAAAGTAATTTTTTAATGTCGTTATCTCTGCTAGCCTTAACAGCGCAGTATGCGTCCGTGCCATATTCTTTTTGTCTCATTGTTTAAAAACAATCCCGGCTTCTCTGTCTTCGGCGTGTGAACCGGCTCTCTCTATCCCAAGCAACCTCGCAATTTCTTTCTTTTTACGCAATGGAGCTACACTTACTCACTATACTTCGCTTTACATTAGGTCCGAGCGCGGCCAATGTTATGAGCCGGAGGACGTATCAAACAGCGCAAAAGGCACCATGTCATGGCGTGCTCTTTGCGCTCGACAGGAAAAGCCGGTGGAGGAGCACGCACAGAAAGACGGCGAACATCGGCTTGTCCTGTGAGTGTAGGGAGCACGCAGTGCAAAGCAGGAGCCCTACTCTGGACACTTGGCGAAAAAGTCGGCGAGAAATCCGGATCATGACTGGCCGGCGCTACACTTGGCCTTGGCGCCGGCCAATCATGGCCGCCGGATTTTTCGGCGACTTTTTCGCCAAATATCTACATTGGCGCCCCAAGAAAACTCGCTTCGCGTATCTCGCGGCTAGCTTACCGTAGGATTGACTGTGAAATGTTGCAGTGTTTTTTTAAGTTATTAATGTGATGACGAAACTGATGAAGGGACAACAGGTAATATATTAGGTTTCTTCGATTTGCCTCAACTGGCTGAAAATGTTCAGCAGTGCGGGAACTGGGGCACTCAATTCAACCGGAAGTGTCACGGCCGCTGCACTGGTGCATTCGATTGATCACAGCTCTGAACGAGTTCAGACCCACTTCCTCAAAACCTTGCACCAGCTCCGGGGTTAGTTTAGCGGCCGTACAGAAGCAGATGTCGAGAGCAGGCGACGAGACTAGACGACACTCCTCGTCCGTATTTGCTCGTGGTACCATTTCTCGGGGCTCTTGCTGTAATATTGCCGCGCGCTGCCTACTTGACACCGAAGAGAGAGACTGACGACCTGCTGCAATCAAGGACCTAGGGCCCCAATGAAAGTGTTACGAGTTTTGTGGAAGACGTCCTTCGTCTGAGCTTCCGCGCCGACCCTCAGGCCAGCGAGGAAAAGAAGCTGCGTATTTTGATGCGTGTTGTGAAGGATGACATCTTCGGAGGCCTCGTTTGCAACCCGCCGACCACCGTCGAAGCCTTCATCATGGAGGCAAGCAACATCGAGCGCGCCCTCCAAGCGCGCGCTTCCCACTACCAGCGACATCCAGGCGTCGCTGCCAGAGGTCGGCATTCTAGGTCGCACTCACTCACCCTCACCCTCACAGCCACACTCACCTAGGCCCCTCACTCTCCCTCACCCTCACAGCTACACTCACCCTCAGCCCCTCACTCATCCTCACCCTCACAGTCACACTCACCTTCAGCCCTTCACTCACCCTCACTGAACCTCACGGCCCTCACGCACTCA